CAGAGAGGCAGAGAGACAGAGAGACAGAGAGACAGAGAGACAGAGAGACAGAGAGACAGAGAGACAGAGAGACAGAGAGACAGAGAGACAGAGACAGAGACGAGAGACGAGAGAAGAGAGAGAGAGAGAGCCATTTTATACCCCCCTTTTTCTGTGACCTCCGTAGCACACAGCTGGACTTCCCCATCTCACTTATACAAGTGACTCGTAGTCATCAGCTAGTTGTATCACTCGTGAAGACTGTTCTCAAATGAGGAAAAGTCCGAAGTCCGATATAAGCTATCTATCTCGGCTGCTTTGCGTTGAGACTAATAACATTTGAGGTGCACGTCTTTTGTTATTGGCAGATGCCAACCACTACGATTTATCCGTATTTTATACGAATTTCTATTCCTTTTGCACCACTACGACCAGTTTGTATCAAACTACGAATTTCACTGTGATTGAAAAAACAATTTTTTTTGTCATTTTTTGTCAATTTAGTGTTATTATTGACTCTCAGAATGCAGGAAATTGCATCTCAGAATCAAAATTTTTTTCCGGGGGGCATGCCGGACCTCCCTAGCAAACTTGGTTCACTACGTGACCCTCGAACTACTAATTTGATGGTCAGAAACTACAGATTGCTTCAAATATGTGTTGGCATCTCTATGATGTTATCTTCTGATATGCGTGACACTTTTTACACTTCTTATGTGCTGATGTGTCTTCTGATATACAGTATGGAGGTCAAGCCCCTAGCGTGCAGACGTATTCATCCGTACAGCGAGGGAACTACACTAGTCAGTGGCAGCAGCAGTACTATGGCACTCCATCAGCAGTGGTGAACGGACACTCAGGCAAGGGTGAGTCGAGTTTAGCATACGATGGTAACCTAAGAGCCACACGTCGTCAGGAACAAAATTATGACTGTCATCATACTGACTGTCTACCATATACCGTCGCTCATAATCACACGCGTTTTAGCATACGAGGGTAAATCAAGGGGCCCATTGTCAGGAACAAAAATAGTCCTAGCCTTTGTCTTAACATTGAGTTTTTCTTGTCCTGCGGCCTGTCGTCAGAAAGAAAAGTAGTTCTAATATTAGTCTTAACGTTAACTTTTTCTCTTAGACAGTTGACGAAATGTTATTTTGTAAAGGACATTGAGTTTATTGTGAGGAAATTTGCAATGATTTTTCGTTCTCGTAGCTTTACGATGCTTCTGCTAACATTCTTTGAGACAAAGTTAATGTTAAGACTAATGTTTGCGGTTAAATTTGGTTTCTGACGACAGTCCCAAGACTTAAGTGGCCGCCGCTGAAATTCAGTGGTTAGCTTTCATCTAGTTAAATCGGGACTACAGCCGACTGCTTATGCGTGATTGCTCTGTCAGGTTGAATTCCGTTGAATCACCGTTTCCTAGCTGTCCTAACCCGCCACCACCACCTCATGCGTCGAACGGCAATCTTTCGATTATCAGGGTATTACCCTCTATTCTACTTCTATTTATATATGTTTTTCTTGCAGGCCAGTCAAGGGTCGAGCAGGCACACGCGAACATTCGCCGTGTGTGCTAGCCCTCCTCCGCGCCGCCATCTTGTCCGACAACGGCCTGAATTCTTTTATTACCAGGGTCATACGCTCTATTTGTAATTCTATTTCCATTTCTCTTTCTTTCGCAGGGCAGTGTCCTAACCCGCCATTACCTCCGACAATGACATCCTGAATCTTTTGATTAACAGGGTCTTATACTCTTTATTTCTATTTCTATTTCTTTCGCAGGCCAGTCGCCAGTCCCGCAGCGACACGTAAACATTCCCAAAATATCCTAACCCTCCCCCCCCACCACGTCCATCGATGACAGTCTGAATCTTTCAATTGCCCGCGTCATACGCTCTATTTTTACCTCTGCCAGGGGCTTGGCGGAGGTTATGTTTTCACCGGCGTGTGTTTGAGTGTTGGTTTGTGTGTTTGTTGGTTTGTTAACATGCACGTTTCAGTTCACTTCCGCTAGGTGCGCTGGCTGTAGACTTACAAACACGCAACCACAGGCTAAGGGGCAACCACAGTCCTCCCCCACCTGCACGCTCGCACTAATCCAGATCCAATTAATTATTTAATGAATTAATTAATTAATTAATTTTTCCACTTAATTAACTAATTAATTAATAAAAAAATTCACATTGAGAGAATTCAGCTGCCTTGGCGGAGGTCTGTGCTCTCCGAGTGCTCTAGTTATTTATATTTCTCTTTCAATTTTTTTTCGCAGGGCAGTCACCAGTGCCGCAGCTACACGGGAACATTCCTCAGGTCGTCGAACCCGCCTCCATCGAAGACGTCGACGGCCCCAACAATCGTCAGTACGACGCGCGGCCCGCCTGGCAGCTCGGCGGCAGCCCGGTGGTAGGGGGCGCCACCCTGCGCGGCGTCGCCTCCAGCGCCTCGCTCGCCAGCAACATGTCCGACGCCTCGATGGCCGTCAACCTCTCGCACGCGCCAAGCCTCGCCTCGCTCACCTCCGAACTCGCCGAACTCCCGCCGCCAGGGGGCGCCGGCGGCAGCGAGTCGCCGTCACTCGCCGTCGGCGTCCCGTCGTCGACGCCGAGTCTCACGTCGCTGACCTCTGACCTCGCCGAGCTGACGACGGGAGGAGGGTCGCCGCACGGGTCGCCCGCTGGGTCCGGGGGAGGGGCCGCGGCGACGGGGGAGGCGGGGGAGGAGCAGGAGAGGAGGAGGGAGAGGGATCTTCACGAGAGGATGAAGCGACAGCAGAGTAAGGATCCGTATGTCGAGTCGGAGAGCCTGGACAGGTGGGTTTATCTTGGGGATGTAAAGGTCGGGCATGGTAAGGCCAAACAAAAAAATACCTTTGGTTTGGGTCACATGGATTGTGAATATTAGGGTAGGTAATTAGGTATAACATTTTTTTTTGTTTTTTTGCAAAAACATGGGTAGGCAGGAATATTATTTTTTTCTTCTTCACAAGTTAAATATAGGAATATAGGAATATAACTTGAACGAGCGAGTAATCGAAGTGTGGCGCAGCGTGGTTTATCTTTGGGATGTAAAGGTGGGACGTGGTAAGGTAGTAAAGGTGTACACGGTAAGGTAATAGGTGTCACGTATTCTTGGACACCTGGTGTTTTTGGGGGGAGATCTGTAGGGTAGTAGGTGTAATATGTGTATTGGACAGGAGAGTTAGTCGTGTCGTTATTTGAGGCAGTAGTGCATGTGTACCTTCTTCGTGAATTCAGATTCGTGGCGGAAGTGGAGCGATTCGAAAAGACCGTAGAGGGCATGTGCAAACATTCGCTGAGCGGGCCGACGCCCCTGGAGCGCGAGTGGAAGGTACGTGCCATCATCAGAGGTTCTAAAAGACGGGGGGAACGTGGATATTAGATATATAACACTAAATATATATATCTCGGAGCCTATATATAGGTATTCTGATCCACAAAATTAATCTATGATGTGGCGGACAGATATCATGATGCAAAAACCCTAACCCCTAACCCTAACCCTAACCCTAACCCTATCCCTAATCCTAACCCTAACCCTAACCCTAACCCTAACCCTGCCCTAACCCTAATCCTAACACTATCCTAAGAGGGGGGGACGGTGGGGGTACATTCCCACTTTCCCAGCAAAAAAACAACGCCATATCCCAGTTCCCAGTAAAATAAAATCCAATTTTCCAGTTCCAGGAATTATGTAGACATGTTTCAGGAAAGTCAGTAGTTTAGGTTTTCAAACATTACATAAATACTAATATTCTACATCTATTATTTATATGGGGGGTCTACATAAATCTAATTAGCGCAGAATAAAAAAATAAAATAAAAACAAAAAAATAAAAAATATTAGCGCAGAAATTGAATCCGACGAATTGACACATTTTTTCCCAGATCCCAGACAATTTTAGCAGGGTCTTTCCCAGCGTCCCGATGGACTTCTGTTCCCGAATCACGCGAATAATTTATGCTGACATTTCCCAGTTCCCGAGCGTAATATAAATGGCCAATCCCGCGCGTCCGAAAATACCCGTTCCCCCCCCCTCCTACAGACAATGCTTGGCAACAAAGTGCTGCAAAGTCGGCATTTTGGCGCGCATGCGTGAAAACAAACTGGTCAGAACTGCTACTGCTCGACCCAGCATCCGTGTCCGTGAGTGTTGAGCGACACGGTACTCTCACGCTTCATCTTGATGTTCGCTGTTCTTCTTTGCAGGAACTGTCGGACTTCCAGGATAAAGAATCGAGAAAGTTCTTGATGTCGACGGCTAGGTGCTACTTCATGAAGAATCGAGATCCGAACATCATGCCGTGTACGTTCTATTATCACCAACCTACATGCCCCTAAGCATTTGGCTGGCTATCGTTTCTGTCACCGCTTGGAGCGCTGATAATTGATGTCACATGTCCAAATTTGGTACTCTTTACTACACCATATAGTAATGAGGCCGTTGTAAATGGACTTAATTTAAATAAAACATTGCCGGCTCCATCATGACGGGCATTAGCCGTGCTAGGAAAGATAATGGAAGATAAGGGCATAGGCGATGCCCCGCCGAAAGTCACCTATGATAACCGAAACGCCGTTCATTCATAAAGTTATCACGGAAAAACCCGAACTCTCACGAGCAACCTTAGCGGCGAGAAGGTGACTGAATAGCTGAGATTCGAGGCGGCGTTTGGCGCATGGTGGAGGGGAGGTTTAGGAGCCGATATCCCGCCTAGGAGTATCGTATTAACAACGCGTTGGTCTTGTTTTTAGAGAGCAAAGAATTCTGCTTAATGCAATACCATAAAATTATTCTAGACTCGCAGGCAAAGTAGAATGCATTGTTGTCTGTGAAATAGCCGTATTTTCCCTGTTTTTCCGTTGTAACACTAGGTATTATTAGCTCTTGATATTTATTACATATTATTATATATATACATTATTATATATAGACGATCATAACCGGATGATGTGTGCGGACGCAGGAGGACGACTACATCAACGCCTGCACACATCAGCACGTGTATATATATATATATATATATATATATATTACATATTATTATATATATACATTATTATATATAGATGATCATAACCGGGTGGTGCTGCGGGCGCAGGAGGACGACTACATCAACGCCTCACACATCAACACGTGTATATATATTTAAATAATTATATCATATCATATAAATTACATTTAGTTTATTTTATATATATTATTATACTAATAGATGATCATAACCGGGTGATGCTGCGTACGCAGGAGGACGACTACATCAACGCCGTCGCACATCAACGGACGTGTATATATATATTATATATATTATATATATATATATTACAATATTATATATATATACATTATTATATATAGATGATCATAACGGGTGATGCTGCGGGCGCAGACGAGGAGACTACATCAATCGCCTGCGCACATCATCAACACGTCGTATATAATATATTATATATATATATATTATTATTATTATTATATATAGTACATTATATAAGAGATGATCATATACGAGGGTGATCGCTTGCGGAGCAGGAGCGACGACTACGATCAACGGACCCCGCGCACAGTCCGGCACATCAACACGTGTAAGTAGCTGATATATATATGTTACATATTATTACATATTATTAATATATATACATTATTATATATTAGATCGATCATTAACTGGGTGATGCTTCGCGGACTGCAGGAGGACGACTACATGCAACGCAGTCACAATCAACGA